GCCCCACCCCAAGGCCGGGGTTCCACGTTGGGCCCCACCCTGAGGCCAGGGGCCCCCGCTAGGTCCCACCCCGAGGCCGGGGATCCACGCTGGGGGCCCAACACCGAGGCCAGGAGTCCGCGCTGGGCCCCACCCCAAGCAAGGGGGTCCCTGCTAGGCCCCACCCTGAGGCAGGGGGTCTGCGCTGGGCACCACCCCAAGACTGGGGGTCCCCGCTAGGCCCCACCCCAAGGCTGGGGTTCCGCGCTGGGGGTCCCACCCCAAGGCCGGGGGTCCGCGCTGAGCCCCACTCTGAGACCGGAGGTCCCCGCTAGGCCCAGCCCCAAGGCCGGGGTCCACGCTTGGGGGCCCCACACCAAGGCCGGGGGTCCGCACTGGGCCCCACCCCGAGGCTGGGAGTCCGTGCTGGGGGCCCCACCCCGAGGCTGGGGGTCCGTGCTGGGGGCCCCACCCCAAGGCTGGGGGTCCGGGCTGGGGGCCCCACCCCAAGGCCGGGGGTCCATACTGGGCCCCACCCCGTGGCCGGGGGGGGGGGGGGGGGGGGTGTCTGCACTGGGGGCCCCACACTGAGGCTGGGGGTCCGCGCTGGGGGCCCTACCCCAAGGCCAGGGTTCTGCGCTGGGCAGGAGAGTGAATGTTGAAGATCAGCAATGATCTTAATGGATGTTGCAGTGGGCTCAAGGGACCAATTGGCCTTTGTTGTGCCTGAGCTTCAGGAACCTGGAGCAACAATACGATGATGTCACAGAAATGCAGATCACCGAGCAGAAAGAGTACAGTGTGGGCGGAGTTAGAACACACTAGAATGAGAGACAGTCTTGACAGTATGTGGATATGAACACACGGATGAGATAAATTACTCCTTCCCTAATGTAACTATAATATCAAACCCTGGTTATCCATGATTACCATGTATATGAATAGTATTAATGTAAAATAAATAGTGTTACTTCGAAGGCTAAGGCTGAAGACAGCAGATGATTTTGCCTTCTCCTCAGCCAGCCTGTCATGAATCCAACTCACAGTGTGGTATCAAATTGAAAATTGAAAATGATCTTTATTGTCACATGTACTCACATGAGTACAGTGAAAAGTTTACAAGTCACCATTTAGGGCACCACCTTAAGTACAAAGATACCTAGGTATGGAATCTTTGGTACAAAGCAGAAAAATAAGGAAAACAAATTTAAAAAGTTAAACATTACAATCCTTCCCACTAAAAAATGTCATGATGAAAGATGGTGACAGGAACAGGATTCGTTGCAGAGACAGCAGTAGAATTAAAGAAATAGACCAGAGGTCATCTGGAGAAGGAATGAATTCAAAAATATTGTTTTAGAGAAATCATCAATACATCTTTAAAACCACCTAGCCACCAGAAAATCCATGGAGCTAAACAGCTGCGATAGAGTTTGGAAATATCTCTGAATAAAAAACTCCTCCAGAGAAACCACAGGAACGTTGTGGGTCTCAAGAAGCATTTTACAATCAGTAATGGGGGAATCAAGCCAATACAAAACGATGAGAATGGTAAAAGGCAATAAGCAGTTAAGCAGATACATGCAACCACTCACTAATACCGGCTGATTACAGCACACCGAAACAGAATTGATCTCACAAGGGAAGGGGGAAAACGTTATGTCTCCAACTTGAAACCTAGACTTAGGAATATGGGCTAAAGATATTTCATAGTGAATTAACAAATTTCTGAACTATTGGCTTGACAAGAAAGTTATCAACAGCAAGATAAAATAATTCTTCAGGTAAAGGCTTAAAGAAAAAGTGATTGAAAAAGAAAATAGAAATCAGCGATAAGAATCATTATCACAGTTTGGATTATCAAAGTGGTAACAGTGAAATTATTGGTTTTTATTCAAGAGTGCAAACATGATCAAGTGGTATCAAAGACAGCATGAAAATACCTTGGATACAGCAAAGATCAGCTTGAACAATGGCAAGGTAGCCATCTTGGACAGAGTCAAAAAAATCATTGCTTCTTGTTGAGTGAAGCTATCTTGAGAAAGTTCTACCCACAGATCTTTTGGATATCCTACGGCCATCCTGGAAAAAGTACACCTTCATATCTATGCGGACGCCATATTGGTAAAGGCAAACGAGATATATTGAAACCAATATTTAGATCAATGGAAACTTCAACGGCTTTCAGTTTTACAATCTTTACAACGTCAAACCTTCGACAACTTTAATCAACTAAGAATGCTGCAAGAACAAAAAATAATATTCAAAGAGATCAAAATCCAATACCCTTCCAAACCAAGAAATAATCAACAATTTCAAGTGCCTAGCAACAAAAAAACAACAAAATTCACCAATTTTCTCATCACAAAGATTTAAACTTTCAGATCCAACTCAGTAAATTGGCAAGTGCGGAAAGCCCACTTCTGGATTGGACACCAAATCAAATGCGGAACAAATGGGAAGAACATCAGATCACGTGCTACACCAACAACAGACTAGTGAATAAGCAAATTACATTTGACAACCCCACAACAGCTTTTGATCGGTATTTCATTCCAAGAATCAATAAAATACTTCAACATCAGATATCAACTCCCAGGAGAGTCTGCAGATAGTTTCATGAATGACCTATAAGCACAATCTGAACTATGCAGTTATGAAAAGTTATAACAAGACCTCAATTGCAGTTGAATTGTCCTTGGCATCTCAGACAAATCGGTAACTGAACTTCTTCAGTCAAAAGACGATGTAAATCTAGAACAACCAGTGTAAGTAGCAGTGAGTAACAAGTCCAGAAAATTGTTTAAGAATCATTAGGCAGCAATGGTTCCTTTTAATGGAAAACATTCCACAGATAGTGTTGACCACACGTACAATATCTATCAGGTCACCTCTCCAACCTCCTACGCTCCAGTGAAAAAAGTCCCAGCCTATCCAGCCTTTCTTTGTAACTCAAACCTTCCATACCCAGCAACATCCTGGCAATTCTCTTCTGAGCCCTCTCCAGCTTATTAACATCCTTCCTATAACTGGACAACCAGAAATGGACACAGTACTCCATGAGAGACCTCACCAACGTTCTGTACATCCTCAACATGATGTCCCAACTCCTCTACTCAAAGGTCTGAACAATGAAGGCAAGCATGCTAAATGCCTTTTTAACCACCCTGTCTACCCTGATGCAAATTTCAAATCATTATGTACCTGCACCCCTAGGTTCTTCTGTTCTACAACATTACATAAGTCCTACCATTAATTGTATAAGCCCTACTCTTGTTTGTTGTATTAAAATGCAACACATTGCATTTATCCAGATTGAACTACATCTGCCATTCCTCAGCCCATTGGCCCAGTTGATTGAGATCCCTTTGTAATCTTAGATAACCTTCTTCACTGTCTACTACACCACCAATCTTGGTGTTCTTCAAGATGGAAGTGGTCATGGGTTTGGAAGGTGCTGTCTGAGGATCTTCGGTGAATTTCTGCAGTGCATCTTGTAGATAGTACACACTGCTGCTGCTGAGCGTTGGTGGTGGAGGGAGTGGATGTTTGTGGATGTGGTGCCAATCAAGTGGGGGCTGCTTTGTCCTGGATGGTGTCAAACTTCTTGAGTGTCGTTGAGGCTGCACCCATCCAGGCAAGTGGGGAGTATTCCATCACACTCCTGACTTGTGCCTTGCAGATGGTAAGCAGGCTTTGGGAGTCAAGATTTGAGTTATTTGTTGCTAGATTTCTAGCATCTGACCTGCTCTTGTAGCCACTGTGTTTATGTGGTGAGTCCCGTTGAGTTTCTGGTCAATGATAACCCCCAGGGTGTTGATAGTGGGGGATTCAGTGATGGTAACACCATTGAATGTCAAGGGGCAGTGGTTAGATTGTCGTTTATTGGTGATGAGTATAGTGTGGCATTTGTGTGATGCAAATGTCACTTGCCACTTGTCAACCCAAACCTGGGCATTGTCCAGATCTTGTTGCATTTGAACATGGACTGCTTCAGTATAAGATGAGTTGTGAATCGTGCTGAACATTGTGTTAGGTATGACTCCAACCAGTGGAGCGTTTGCCCCCTGATACCCATTGATTGCAGTTTTGCCAGGGCTCCTTGATGCCACACTTCATCGAATGCAGTCTTGATGTCAAGGGCTGTCACTCTCACCTCACCTCTGGAATTCAGCTCTTTTGTCCATGTTTGAACCAAGGCTGTAATGAGGTCAGGAGCGGAGTGGCCCTGGCAGAACCCAAACTGGGCGTCACTGAGCAGGTTATTGCTGAGCAGGTACTGCTTGATAGCGTTGTTAGTGACACCTTCCATCACTTTATTGATGATCGAGAGGAGACTGATGGGGCGGTAATTGGCCGGGTTGGATTTGTCCTGTTTTTTGTGTACAGGACATACTTGGGCAATTTTCCACATTGTCGGGTAGATACCAGTGTTGTAACTGTACTGGAACAGCTTGGCTAGGGGAGCGGCAAGTTCTGGATCATGAGTCTTCAGTACAATTGCCGGAATGTTGTCTGGCGCCATAGCCTTTGCAGTATCCAGTGTCTCCAACCGTTCCTTGATATCACGTGGAGTGAATCGAATTGGCTGAAGACTGGTAGCTGTAATGCTGGGAACCACTGGAGGAGAGGTAGTAAAATGCCAGCAGACTTGCCCAAGGATGATTAGATGGGCTGAACATCCACATATGAATCCTTTTAATGTAACTGTTTTTAATTGCAATCACTTAAAGGTCCACTTTTACAACAGGGCAGAAAAAGGACATTTTTTTTCAGCCAATGAGAGTGTTTTGGGTGAAAAGAGACGTTGTAGTAAAAGCTGGGGCTGGGTTATCCATCCATAATGTGAAGGTGCGGTAAACTTCCGTCTAATGGCCAATTCCTCTCAGTCAGAGTGCACAGTTTCGCTAAACGTGCTTTACGTCAGTGTTAGCAGAGGAAGCTGGCAGAGGTGCGGAAGCTGTAATTGGTTAGACTTTACAACCTTCAGAGAGTGTGTGTCTGTTCAGAAAGAAAACCAGGAAGCAAATGTAGAGTCCAACAATGCAAACATGTAAAAGTTGCTTCAGGTAACTCCGGCCCGGCTCCGTGATCCTCGGGATTGGCACTACCCAGGGGCACCCCCCACCCTACACACACACACACACACACACACACACACGGGCACAGAGAAGCTGCAGGGCTCCCCTCCTGGAACCCACACCCATGGAGGCTGCGCAGCTCACCGAGGACGAGATGGCTGAAATAAAAAAGGAAGTAAGTTTGCTGCCGCTGTTTGAACGAAATGTGAAAGGGGAACGGGGTTTTTTTTTGCCCGTCTCTGGTGCTCATTTGCCCCCTTACAGGGCAGGACAGGTGAGTGGGTCTGAGGCTAGTGGGCACACTGGGGCACTGAGCTGCTCTGCCCAGGCTGGAAGCTGTACCTGGGACACTGCAGTGTGGGTACACCTGGGCACTGAGGCTGGTGTAACTGGGGCACAGGTACACCTGGGCACTGAGGCCGGTGTAACTGGGGCTCAGGTACACCTGGGCACTGAGGCTGGTGTAACTGGGGCTCAGGTACACCTGGGCACTGAGGCCGGTGTAACTGGGGCTCAGGTACACCTGGGCACTGAGGTCTGTGTAACTGGGGCACAGGTACACCCGGATACGTACACCTGGGCACTAAAGCTGGTGGAACTACAGCAGCGTGGATTGGCTCACCTCGGCACAGGTACACCTGGGCTCTGAAACTGGTGTACCTGGGCAGTGGGGAAAGGCCCAGCTGAGCACTGGGAGGTGTCTGATACATGGACAATGCAAGGGTGTAGCTCCTGGGCTGAGAGAGACTCCACAATGTGACTGAACTCAGTGTAGCCTTTATCTGATTAATGTTACAAAAGGTCTAATTGCTGACACTAAGTTTCTTCTGCATTGGGGTTTCAGTTTTATTTTATTTTGCAGTAATGTTTCTCGGAAAACTCAGTATTTTTTTGGAAGTGTCACATGTTGTTCAGCAGCGTAAGGTCTTTTTGCTCTTGAATTAAACTAGCCCGGGTGTCTGTCAGTTAGAGGCATATTGAAATTGGAGTTAACACAGGCATGAGGCTGTGAAAGATCCCTCCCTGCAAGGTGATAATCGAGAAGAGAACTTTAAAATTGAGAAGATATGTACTTTAAAACTATGTATGCCGTTTGCAAAAGGAAAATTTGACATTTTTAACTGTGTTGTGTTTAATTTTTATTCTCCTCTTCTAATGCTGACCTTGGAGAAACATTTTCTTCGTATTTAAAGTTCTCATTCTTGTTTTCCTGTCCATCCATGTCCTTTTTTTGTTATATCTTGTAATCCTTTGCAGCCCAACAATCCTCCCAGCAAACCTGCTGTTTTAATTGCTTCACCATTGCTACCTTTAGCTGCTGAGGCCCTGAACTCCAGAATTCCCTCCATAAAACCCTCTCTTTTTCTCTCTCTCTCTTCCACCTGTTTCGAAACTCTTTAAAACTGAGCTGTTTTGAACAAGCTTTAATTTGCTTGTCCTAACATCTCATGCAGCACTGTCAGAATTTGTTTGATAATTGTTTGTATAGAAACATAGAAAATAGGTGCAAGACTAGGCCTTTTGGCCCTTCGACCCTGCTCCACCATTCAATACAATCATGGCAGATTGTAGAATAGAATTGAATATTCTTTTATTGTCACATGTACTCCAGTACAGGAGTACAGTGAAAAGTATTTACAATGGCTGCCTTTAATGGCACCATCTTAGGTATAAATCTTGGAAACAAAAGGATAAAAGGAAAAGTAGATAACAAGGTGTAGAGCTGGATGAACACAGCAGGCCAAGCAGCATCAGAGGAGCAGGAAGGCTAATGTTTTGGGTCTGGACCCTTCTTCAGAAATGGGGGAGGGGAAGGGGGCTCTGAAATAAATAGAGAGAGAGGGGGAGGCAGATGGAAGATGGATAAAGGAGCAGATAGGTGGAGAGGAGACAGACAGGTCAAAGAGGCGGGGATGGAGCCAGTAAAGGTGAGTATAGGTCGGGAGTTAGGGAGGGGATAGGTCGGTCCAGGAAGGACAGACAGGTCAAGGAGGCGGGATGAGGCTGGTAGGTGGGGGTGGGGCTTGAGATGGAAGGAGTGGATAGGTGGGAGGAAGGACAGACAGGTTAGGGAGGCGGGGACAAGCTGGGCTGGTTTTGGGATGCGGTAGGGGGAGGGGAGATTTTGAAGCTTGTGAAATCCACATTGATACCATTGGGCTGCAGGGTTCCCAAGCGGAATATGAGTTGCTGTTCCTGCAACCTTCGGGTGGCATCGTTGTGGCACTGCAGGAGGCCCAGGATGGACATGTCGTCCAAGGAGTGGGAGGGGGATGTGAAATAGTTCGCGACTGGGAGGTGCAGTCGTTTGGCGCAAACCGAGCGTAGGTGTTCCACAAAGCGGTCCCTGAGTCTCCGCTTGGTTTCCCCGATGTAGAGGATACACGATTCTCCAGCATCGGTAGTTCCCACCATCTCTAAAAGGAAAAGTAGTAGTATTACTTACTGTGACTAAAAAAAGTTAGAAATAAGATAGTTAAAGGATTGACATTACAGTCCGCTAAAGAATTTCAAATAGCAGCAGCTCAGCACATGCTTTGCCTGCCATGTCAGAGCCCAGTCCAACAACTATCCCGCTCCGCTCCAAGCTTCCAGTCTGCTGCGCACTGGCACTCAGCATCACCGTGGTACACCGTGCTGCTCCAGGCCCTCGCTACCCACCTTCCCTCACACCCCCCCCCCCCGCACCCCCCCCGGCCCCCCCCCCCCCCCCCCCCCCCCCCCCGCCCCCCTCCCCCCCCCTGCGCTGCCCCCGCCCTCGCCCCCCCCCCCCCCGCCAGCCCTAAAAACTATATCTAAATCCTTCTTAAAAATTTTTTAATGTTTTTACCTCAACTGCTTTCTGTAGCAGAATACCCTACAGGCCCCCACTCTCTGGGTGAACACATTTCTCCTTGTTTCAGTCCTAAATGGCCTACCCCGGTATTGTTAGACTGTGACCCCCTGGTTTTGGGCTGTCTGGTCATTGGGAGCACCCTTCCTGTGTTTATTGTGTGTGGTTTTGTGAGAATTGGTAGATTTCTATGAGCTCCCTCCTCAATCTTCCAAACTCCTTTGAATGTAGTCCTAACTGATCCAGTCTGTCTTCGAATGTAAGTCCTGTCATACCAGGAATCAGTCTAGTAAACCTTCATTGTACTCCGTGTCTAGCCAGGACATCCTTCCTAAGGAGACCAAAACTGCACACAGTATTCCAGGTCTGGTCTTATCAAGGCCCTAATTGCAGAAAGACATCTCTGCTCCTGTACTTAAATCCTCTTGCGGTAAAGGCCAAAATATTGCTTGTATGAAGTGGCTTTGGTTTTTTTTTAACCATGTTTAAGACACTATATCAATGCAAGTTATTGACAACTTCAGCAACTTAAAAAGTATTACCTTGCTCTTTTTCCAAATTTTATTCATGAAAATATGATTGGTCGAAGGATTATTCATGTATAAGTGACATTGTTCTTTTGTCACCAACATTGGACAGACCTTGATGATAGAGTTGATGGTCAGAGAATGGAGAAAGTGTACAATAATGAAATGTGGGTCAGATTCATTTCCAGGGCCGAGCGGTCAGCTATCATTGAAAGGATTGAACCTCGTCACTGATTAAGGTCATTCACAGAACAAGTAAAATGAAATCGAAACAGTTACATTTTGATAGTGCCTTTCCCCACCCACAGGATATCCCATAATGTTTTAGAATTAGAATTAGGATTACTGTCACAGATATTGACAAGTGTAGTAAGAAGTGTACAAAGTCTGTACTTCTGGCGCCATCTGAGGTACAAAGGTACCTCGGTACAGGATGTTAGGAATAAGTTTTGGTAAAGATCTGTATAAGTTACTAAGTGAGAATAACATATTAGGAATAAGTTAGAAAAATAAGGAATTAAAAATTTCAGCATTACAGCCCTTCAAGCAGACCACCCTGGCCTGCTCGGGCCTCCAGCCCGCTCCAACTGAACTCAACAGCTAATGGCCCACTGAGTTCCTGAGTCCAGGCTCCGTGTCTCCTGAAGTCAGGAGTCCTTGGTCTGTCACTGCCACCACTGCTGCCAACAGCCCTCCGACACCGCTCCGGCTTCCCCATGACATCAGAAGATGAAAGAAAAAGGCAGAAAAGGGGAGAGAGAGAGAGAAGGAAGGATGCGGCCTGCCTGGAGTATACAGTCTCAGGAGCCCTAACACTCCCTGCCATGCCATCGCCACCATCTTGGACCATTTTGCCAGCAGTGCAGTAATTTGTAATATGCTCATTGCTCACAGCGTAATTGCAAAATGATGTTCAGCAAGCTCTCACAAACAACAATGTGACGATGACCAGAAGACACAGGAGCAGAAGTTGGCTATTCAGCCCATCAAGTCTGCTCCACCATTCAATGAGATTATGGCTGATCTGATCATCCTCAACTCCATTTTCCTGTTGTTTCCCCATAACCCTTGGTTCCCTTACTACCTCTCTATCTCAGCCTTGAATATACTTAATGACCCAGACTCGACAGCTCTCTGTGGTAAAAAAATTCCACAGATTTACTACCCTCTGAGAGAAGAAATTCCTCCTCATCTCTATCTTAAATGTGTGACCCCCTCACTCTGAGATGAAGCCCTCTGGTCCCAGACTCTCCGACCAGGGGAAAAGACCTTCCCATATCTACCCTGTCAAGTCCTGTATGTTTCAATAAGGTCATCTATCATCCTTCTGTACTCCAATTCGTACAGACCCAATCTATTCAGCGTCTTCTCATAAGACAGTCCCTCCATACAGGTTCTTGGCCGGGTGAACCTTCTCTGGACCGTCTCCAATGCCAATCTATCTTTCCTTAGATAAGGGGCCTAAAGCTAGTCGGAGTATTCCAGCTGTGGTCTCACCAGTGCCTCATATATTTTTAGCAAAACCAGCCTACTGTTATACTCCATTCCCTTTGAAATGAAGGCCAACATTCCTTTTGCTTTCCCTATTGCCTGCTGAAGTTGACTAGATTTTAATTCAGTTCAAAATGGAGTTAGAATTTTGATCAATGAGGGAGTCAAGTGTTATTGTGTGTGTGTGCGTGAGTGTGAGAGAGAGTGAGTGTGTGTGTGTGAGTGTGAGAGAGGGGGTGTGTGTGTGTATGTGTGTGAGTGTGTGCGTGAGTGCGAGAGGGAAAGAGAGAGAGAGTGAGCGAGGGTTGGGGCGTGCAGACAATG